TCATCTCGACTGATACAAATATCATCCAGGACGATGAGCTTAATGCGACTACCTTAACAAGGATACCCTAATTAGGGTTTTTTTTTTAAATTGATTGTCCAAAAAGATTTTTGAATCATCCCGAATGATGTGAGCAAAAATAGAAAACTCTAAATCAGATAGAAAAAATTTCTCCAATTGTGTGTGTGCAAGGTTACTTAGCATCAGGAACCATATTGTTTATAATAGACACAAGAAAAGGAAAAAAAGCACAAACTGACTCAGACCTTGTCTACCCAATCTTGAGCTGGTTCAAATTACAGTCTTAATCTTGTGTACCTGAAAAACGTTAGTAGGCAAGGTAGTCATAGAGAAACATAAGTGTTTGCTATCATCAAAATTCTATTCCTTGAAATTAGATACATAACAGATAATCTGGGGGAGACTGGATGATTAGAATATATATTTATTCTGATTATCCAGGATGATGGGACATCATCCTGTACGATTAGTTTAAAATATCGAATATCATCAAGACCATTGCTCTATTCGGCCAGACTTTATATGTTAGACAATGAAAAAATAACTAGTCATCCAGACCAATTATTAGATCATCCTATATGATTAGTTCAAATCAATAAATATCATCCAACATATCATTCTATTAGTCCTGGACGATTCAAGAAGAAACTAAGGTTTACTTAACTGATTGACCCAGATGATCCTGCGATCATCCAGGATGATATGATTAATCAATCAAACCTTAATTGCTTTGCTTAATCATCAGGCTAATTTAGGCATAATTGTAATGCATCATCCAGGACAATGTCCTGCACGATGTCCAAAAGTAATAACATGCCTAAAGGGTTGGCGATTGATTCTTTCTAATTTGAGCGTATCATCCAGGACGATGTGAATATCATCTAGGATGATGTGAATATCATCCAGGATGATTTGATTAATTCGACTGTCATAATAAGGATGCCTTAATTAGGGTTTCTTTTTTTTAACTAATCATCCAAGATGATTTTGGATCGTCCTGGATGATATGATTAAAAATAGAAAGCTCTAAAATAGATAGAATTTTCCTTATGAGTGTGTGTGTGTGCAAGATTACTCAGCATCAAGATCCACACAATTACATTTGACTCAAGAAAATGTAAAAACACTTAAAGTACACTTAGAGACTGACTTAGTCTTAATCTACTCAATCTTGAGCTGTCTTGATTCGTAATTAACCTTGTGGACTAGAAACGTTAGTAGATATGACAATAGTAGAAAAAATAGAAATGTAAAAAATGTTTTCCATCATCAAAATTATAATTCTTGAATCTAGATTTTCAATAATCCACCCCTTTTTGATGATGGAAAACATTTGGTAGGAAATTCAACTTAAGCAGTTAATTGAAACTTAACGTATAGGAAAATAGTGTGAACCAAGCAATGCAAATTTTAATGAAATCAAGCAGATGGTATAAACACTAAACCATAGTAATGAAATAATGAAACAACACAAACACTAACAAATGAAATACATCACAAAAAGGAGGAGGAAAATAAAAAAAAATACAAAACATAAAATACAAAATAGAACCTAAAAACATCACAAGAAAGATAATCTACAAGTACGAAGGGCCCTGATCATTAGAAGGAGGTGGTGGGAGTGGCTGAAAGAAATTAAAAATAATAGTGAGCTTTTACCCAAATAAGGCCATATATTGATCGTGCTGCTGCTGCTAGTGTGCCACGTATAAATCAAATCTAGCGACATCCTCCATATGCTGCTGCTCCTGTGCAGCAATATAAGAGTCAAATCTAGCCTCCCACTGGTCGAACCGCTCCACTAGCTGATCCAACTGTGAGTGCTAGCGGATTAGAGTAGGTGTAGGAATAGGTGTAGAAGCAATTTCCTCCTCAGCTCCCTCAGCCTCCTCGTGCTCTGGGTGGAGACGAGTACTGTGAAGAACGTGTAAGGAACTGTTGATGTAGAAGGTAGGCTAAAAATTAGGTGGGGCATGATATTGAAGATTGTATTTTATTTCCAGGACATAGGCTATGATGTGTCCAAAGATAAGGTTAGGCTTTTTTTGTTCCCTGGATCCCTAATACTAGTTAGATGCTCAATGTATCGAAAAAGAAGATCAGCAATATTAAACTCTATATGGGCCATGATATAGAAGGTGATGATTAAAAGAAGAGGGGTGATGGGTCACGATCACTAGCCTTAGGGATTACTGAGGTGCGAAGTACATGTTGGATTATCCTTGCATCTTTGACTAAGGTGCTAGTCGCCGCATCATGATATGAGACATGAGTGTTCCTCAGAAGGTGATTGACAGGAGCCCAGTCGTAATCATGATCTGACGATAAGAAGTGAATCTTGTCTCTAGTAGTGGACAGTTGAAGGAGTTTGTGGCAATCCTGATAGATAATTTCTATAGGTCATTTGTTTACATAAGACTGAAGGGCAGTGTAGCGGGAGTTGATCCTAAGGCTTACAAAAAATTCATAAATAAGTTTAGAATTGAAAAGGAAGGCAAGTGTAAGAATGAAGGTGAGGGAAGTGTGAGAAAAAAGATAAAGGACAAGGTAAGTGAGCGTACGAGGGTTGATGATCCTAGATAGTGTAATCTCGACAGTCTTATAGTGAAGATAGGCAGCTTGGTTAGCCGCCTCAGTGAAATGAGGGTTGATAATAGCCCTCGAAGAACTGCCGGTCACCATTCTAAATCATTTTCCACCCACCATTGACAAAAAAATTAGAGCTTGAGTGAGAGGAATGAAGAAGTGAAGTTTTTTAGGGTGGATAAAATTGATGAAGTTAACTGTTTATAAAGAGTCGGCCATATCGTGTAGGAAGATCGTAGAATCGTCTAGGATAATCAGAAGAATTTATGACGTCTAGGATGATTGGTAAAAAAGGTAGTTATATCGTCCAAGATGATTAGACATCATCCAAAATGATTAGACACAAGAGATCATCCCGAGGAGTCATGCCAGATGACCATTAAAAAAGTAGATTGTCCAGGACGATTAGGTGGATCGTCCATGACGATCGATAATAATTAATCGTACTGGCCGAATTTAAAACGTGTAACTTTTTTGGCCACATGGATCGTCCAAGACGAACAGGTGAATCATCTAGGAAAATCACAAATAATTGAAGTAGAATTCGATCAGATCATCCAGGATGATGGATATCATTGAGGACATTCTCAAATGATTAGGTAAGATCAGCCGTTAGATGAAAGATGAAGGGTAGATTGGAGATATCGTCCAAGATGATAGGAATATCATCCAGGATGATGTGACCAAAAAATTAAAATTTTGATGATGGTGGGAGGTGATCAGAAAGTGCCCCAAAACATAAAAAACTAGTAAACAATTTTAAAATAACAAAAACTAATAAAAATTATAAAAAAATGAAAAACAAAGTTTTTTTTTTGTTTTTTTATCAAAGCATGAATATAATAAAATGTCCATGTGATTGAACTAAAAATTTGTAAGAAAATGAGTTAACTTCATTGAAATATGAAAAATGGTAGAACAATTGATCATGTTTACCCTAGCTCAGACTTCTTATAGGGCAAACCATCTTTTAAAAATAAAGATCTAACTCAGAAAAATTAATTGGATAAGAAAAAGTGATCCGTTCAAAACTTGGTTTCAAAAAAATATATTGTAGAATAATATAGCAAAGTAATTTGTAATAGTCATGAATTTTGAAATCAAGTCCTTGAAAATATTAAGTGACACATGAATTATTGTAAGCTTTAAAAGTTTGAAAGAGAAAGTAAACTTACTTTCTTGTGGGCTCATTTTGGGCCTCTTATCAATTTGTTGGCTCACTTTACGCATCTTTTCATTTTTTATACACTTTATCTTTTAATTTTTTTGGCGATCATTGCACATCTTTTCAATTTTATTTTCTTTTTTGGGCTCATTTTATGCCTCTTATTATTTTTGCAAGCTAGCTCTCTTTCAAAACTTTTAAATACTCTCAATTATGAGACTATATTCCAAATATTAGAGAAGAAAAACTCACTATATAACAAATTCATATGATAAATGCAACAACAAAAAGCTTGAAAGTAATTTAATGACTTTGAACATTATTTATATAAGATAGATTACTATAACAAGGTAAAAAAGATCTTAATTGCAAAATCCAGTTATTAATTTGAGATACACTTTTGTTTAGAAAAGAAAAATTACACTGCTAAAAGGAGTTGGAGGAAGGGAAAGTATCACGGTGTTTCTCCCTTTAACTAATTTAGGGATGTCAATCATTGACTATAAATTTTTAAAAATAAATATAAGGCATAAAATATCATTTCAGCAGTGATTAAAAGAAAAACTAAAAGAAAATCTGAAATATCAGAAACAAAAACATGGAAAATAGTAGCAAATAAAAATTAACACTTAAAAACTAAAAACAAAAAAAGAACATAAAACAACAACAAATAACAGATATAAAATTTAGAGTTTAGAAAGCATCAAGTTCATGCATTTATGTCAATCACACCCAATATGGTCCTTAAGATACTGAATGTGTCAAATATTAGTGGTTTAGTAAAGATGTCAGCCAGTTGATTCTCAGTTGCCACATGGTGTAACTCAATATCTCCTTTGGTAACATAGTCCCTAATAAAGTGATATCCTATGTTGTTGACCTCATTTTTGTACGAGGTCACTTGGACCAATCCTGACCCTAAATGAATTTAATCTCCAAACCAATCCAAACTCTAGGATCCTCCTAGAATTTCGACCTTAGGATCCATTCTAGGTCCTAAGATCCTTCTAGACTCTAGAACTTAGGATATACCTAGAACCTAGATCAATCTAGACCTTAGGATCTACCTAGATCTTAGAAATAAACCAAAATCCAAGGCTAAAGGCTCCACCCTAAAAGCCTTTTTAAGGATTTTTCAAACACTTCAAATTCTAACCAAATGACCTCTGATCTTGTTCGACGGAGGCTAAAGAGTCTTCGACTGAATTCGAGATCGAGATCGGGAGAGATGTCGCCTGGAGGAGGTAAGTCCCGAAATTGTTCCTTCTTCTCTGTGTGCGTGAGTCTCTGTGTGCGCGATTCTGAGAGCGTGAGAGCAAATGAGGGTGAGTTTCCTATTTTGAGTCGTGAGGAGCAACGGTTGTGCGATCGTGGGAACGACGTGGGTAGTTGTTCGATTGGGTCCGATCGTGGCTGAGGTGGAGTCGGTCGGGTTCTCCGACAGTTAGAGGTCAACATTAGTATGTTAGCATTTCATATGAACGTGACGCCCATTTTAGTTTCATGAAAGCCTAAGGTCAATTAAATATTATTCCATGCCGCTGAATGTTGGTCTATGTGATGCAGTCACAACTATTTTGATCAATATAATGTAATGTTAGACAATTCAACTTTTTTTCCAAGGCCAAGAGCACTTTACGTTGTCATCCGTACACGACATTTTTCCCCTTTTTTGTTGAGCATACAATTTGAGAACCCCATCTCACATTGATACTGTGATATTGAATGTCATGGTAAATTTTGTATTCCTTTGTATGGTTAGGTATGCTTATTTTTCTTGATCTGTTGCTAATATGGGAGATGCTTATGAATTCATATTGTGTTTTCTTTATGATCAGCCTAATTTTTCTCTATTGATGATTCATTATTTGAATTAAACTTAATTTTCAGTTTTTTACTGTCGGTTTTGATATCATTCGGTGCTCATGGCAGACCAATCCTTTTTTTATTGTTTTGTTCTTTAGATATTGGCGAGACACAACTTATTGATTTAAGGTCTTCGCAGCTCTTATACCGTCTTTCTGATGAGGTATCCATTTTACTACTTCCCCACACAAAGAAAATGATAACGTGCAACCAAAATTTAAAGTATTTTTTAGTATCTCTTAAAGGAATGATGAAGCCTGGTGCCAAATTGCTTGAGTATTAGAATTAAGGGTTAGAACATGATGATAATTTAAGGTTTCGTTTGGGATGGCTTTCTTATTGCCTTTTAAAGCTTTTTTTTAACAAAAAATTTAAGCCTAAATAAAAGGAGAATTCAAAAATACTATGGCAGGCATGTGATCGGTGATTATATATTTTGAGAAATGATGAATCATTTGATTTAGTTCCCACAAGTATTCCAAAATCTTGATATTGATACATAAGTTAAATAAATTGACAGTGTACAATCATGTTCTTTGCAGATTGCCGCTGACATGTTCAGAGAGCACACCAGAAAACTAGCAGAGGAAAACATCTCCACTGCAGTTGATCTCCTGAAGTCTCGAATGCAAGCGGGGTATGCCTTGTGTTCTCTTAAACCAATGCTGATCTTTCAATTCAGTTTATTGTCATGACGAAATCTTCTTTTACAATGTTAACGATGCAAACTTGTTTCTTTAGATCAACAAACTTTATTATATTTCGGTTCAACTTCTAAAGCTCTGGCTTATTCTTTATTGGCATTAATTTGTTACCTGTTCTTAACCAGTGAAAATTCCTTTTTGCCTATTTCCTCAACGCTAGCATGAACTAATCTTAATGCTATAAGCTTATTTTATGTTACTCATATAATATTTTATTTTGTTTGAGTACCTTACTACCGTGGGCATACTCACGCAAATTAATGGGTTGTAGAAGGCAGGAAAGGGGGTAAACAAAGTTGAGTTTTGTAGCTGTAGAGACACTCTTGATTGATTTATGTATGCCATAGAAATTATTTTGTAAGTTGTGCTGAATGTATATATTATATTACTATAGTTCATAACTTCATATGGAGTAAATATATTAGCGTGTAGTTGAACAAAGAATGTTAATCCGATGTTCATCTTTATAAGCAGTGGCAGAGCCAAAAAATTTTTTCTAAGGGGGTGGGGCCTAAATTAATTTTGACAAACTTTCTATCAACTTTTTTATCCGGGCTTGAACCAACATAGACAATTTTAAAACAAAAGGAAAAAAAAAAAACAACGAATACTAACCATAATTAATTTGTCCAAATTTACAAGTCATTTGTAAATCCGATAAATACCGATTATGGTATATTAAAATTTAAAATATAAAGTTATTATTCAGACTATTATGAGATTCTGTATTTATTTTCAACTTCCATAACATTTATTTGTTTATAAAATGTATGATATTAATAATTGGATTGATTTGATTTTGAAATTGACATAGACAAAGTGAAAGAATGTCACTGTTACTATCTACTAAGATTTGCTATGCTTTTATATATATATATATATTTAGATTGGTATGCGATGCCATGGATATTCTTTTGGTTCACCATCATGCTGTTGATTGGACTGCTGGATTTATAGGTAGGCTTCAACATAGCGTTCTTTACTGGCCGATGGGCCATAACAGTACAATTGTTTTCATGAAGTCCCTACGATTGCCTACTCCATATGTTCATACTTTTTTATTTAAAACCCCCCCCCCCCAACACACACACACAAAAAAAAAGAAAAAAAATCCGCTTATTTTTATAAGATGACGTATGATGCTATTAAATTGTGGGGGCTGTATCTATGGAGCAATAGTTAGTATGAGTAGATGAATAAGGAGAAAGAGCAATCACCTGAGGCAAACAGGCCAGGATGGAAGAGGGTTAGGTTGAAAATATCATGGTTTGAATATTTCAAAGAAAGCTATGACATGAATTTTTTTGTATATTTAATGGAGTTGAACCCCAGGTATCTCATTTGGAGGTAAGGACAATGCAACTGGGTCACACAACCAGTGCTAAGAAAACTATAAGTAGGATGTGTAGCTCCTAACAAAATGAACCACCAAGGATTTTTATGACTGACTTTGGATGCGTCTTATCAAATCATCATCATCATTAACCTTATACCAACTATTTGGGGGTTGGCATTGTGGAGTCATATTAAATATTGTTTCCTAACATACTATGAATTATGAGCTTAATATATTTTGTTCTTCATTTTGATTATTAGAGCGTATTTTGCAAAGCAATGCCAGAGATATGACGTGTTACTTTCTTCATAGGTTATCTTTGTGTACAAATCACAATTGTGTAATAAAATTTGTTTGGCTGCTCTCTTAGCTCTTGGTCCAAAACTGTCAATGTAAGAATGTATGGCTCGACAACTCTATGACATATGCTATGGAACGACCCTTGTGAACTTGGAGCATTATGCATGCTTTGAAAAGCATTAGACTTGCTGATGATATAGATTATCGAATAAGTAGTTAGACTTGATATGTATTATAGGCTCTTAGAATATTAGCTATATTAAGTTGACATGGTGAAATCTCAACATTTTTACAAAACTTACATCAGATAAACTCAAGGATAGAAATGAGATCACATCAATGCCAAGAAATTTCAAGAATGCCCATTGACATACTTTGGTATGTTCGATAGTGGAAGAGCTGAGGAGAGCGATCGACCTCAACTGTCGTTTCCTCATTTAGGTGGCCCTTTTTACCAGTAGCTTAATATTGAGGAATTGCTAGCTGTTGAAGCTTGAAAGATTAGGCTTATCAACTTCTAAAATTGGAGGCCCAATGGAAGATTATCATTATATGTCTAAGAAATTGGGGGAAGATTTGAAAGCCATATGCAATCATGTTGGAGTGAGCCAAAAAGTACATCGTCACAAAGGCAAAGATAGAGAGCCGACGCAGATCGTCAACTGGCATGAGGTGGAGGTCGAGTAACTACAGGCTAGGAATGCTAAATTGAAGAATTCATGACTTGACTAGGGATTTTAAAGGATATTTCCACTCATCATAAAATTAACTTTGTTTGTCACCAAGATGATAATCACCTTTGCAAGGGTGGCTTCAACCTCCTATGGGACTATCTATAGAGGAGGCAACTGCTTAGCTTTAAGATCCTTCAGAGTATCATTTATGTCACTTTCACAGTGAGGGGTGATGTACAAATTAAGTTCTAACTTCTAAGTTATTCAGGGTAGAAATTATTTTCTTGACTAACTCTTCGGTCTTGTTTTGAGCTAATCCTTTACTTAGTGGATGAAGGCACTAGGTTTTACTAAAAATGGTGAGTAGAATATATATGATATTGCCAGGTTGCTGCAGGCCATGCCAATCTTGGTAAAGGGAAACTTGATAGTGTATTTATCAATGGAGACAATCAACTAGATGTGGTAATGATGGCCTTGTAAAGGGAAGTTAAAGTTCGTTCGGTGACTTCATTTATAATCTCTTGGGTATTCTTTTAGGTGATTAGTTATTGGGGGATGCACACATTTGCAAGTGAAGCTGACCAAGCCATTTGAGGCTCAAAATTTTGTGGGGTTGAGGCCAAGCTTCTTGACCAATTGGTGGAATATGATGTTGAAAGTTGAAACCATGCTGATGAGGATTCATAGAACTCCTAATGATTGGTTATGACTTTAATGACCACAATTATGTGTTAGTCATTATAGGTAATCGAAAGATCATATGTAAAATGTGTAGGAGGTGAAGGGGGTAAGAGTGCCATTTACGTCATGGTTGTTGAGGCATCCAAGGCTCATTTGATTGGCGGCCTTAGGGACGACTCCACAAATAATGAAGTCGATCTTCTAATGATGTACACATTTCTAGAATCGGTATGTGAGACTCTAATGGTTAATTGGCTTGGTTCACTGGGTGACTAGGTTTGTTTGTTAGTAGAAATAGGAGGGAAAACTATGATAATTTCTTTCAAGTGTGGTTCATTGATGAGCTTTCCAATGATGGCCATCAGATTGTGACACATTTATCTCATGACCATGGTCATCATGACATAGATCAAACTTCTTTCTGTCATGATTGTTGGCGAGTGTGATGTTCATGGTGGGCCACTTGAAATAATCATTATTCTAAAATCATTGTGCAATGGGTGTCGATGCTAAGGCCCAACTACGTCGAAGTTGCATTCATTGTATTAATCAAGGTGGTTGTACTTTTAATGGGTATTATGATGGCAGCTGTCATTGCGACAGTCCCTTCATAAATGGTTGCCATAATGGCCCATGTTTAGATAGTTTTAATGAGTATTGTTGATGTGATACTAACATGAATTATCGAAAAATAATAAAATTTATTACAAAGCTTGCTACTTTAAGATTAATGAGTCGTGATAATTAATTTTAAGAATTCTCAATTGTCATTTTGCTTTGGTATGCAGTCACAATTTTAGGAGAATAGAACAACTTAAAATATTATCAGAAAATTACAATAAAACTAAATGTGTTGTGATAGGAATCCACAGGTTAATATTTAGAGTGTTCACCTAGAGTCTCCTTTCTCACTCACACTTGGTGACTGGCTTAGCGGAGGGAGACTTTCAACAATCCAAACGACACCACCAAGAGAGTTAGGACACCGTCGATCTTGATCCACGGGAAAGTAGCCGGAGAAGGAGGTGCAGGTGGACGTCCGACGAGTTGCCACTGTCCGGATGGTCGTTGTTTGTCGATAGTCTCGGCTAACTGAAATAATATATGGTTGACGTAGTCTTCGACGGAATCTTCAAACTCCTAGTGGGGGTCGAAGAATGATGATTGAAGGATATCAACTTGTCCTTAGGAATTGTACGCGAATTCATGGTCAACTTCAGGATAGACCATCCATGAATATGGGAGACTCCTTCCTTGGGATCCTGGGAGGGGGGACGGCGGGTTGAGAGAAGAGGAAAGGAGATAAGGGACCGACGGTTTGGGGATTTCGGGTAGAGAGGGAAAGGGAAGGGGATGGCTAGGGTTTAGGCCTAGGTAAGTGGAAGGGAGGAATTAGAAAAATCTATTTAATTTCAGATTTTTCTAAGAGAGGGAAAAGGATTAATTTGAATTCCAAACCATCCCAAATTGGGCTATAGGGGTCGGTGGCTTAGGAGGGAATTATGGGGGGATTTAATGGGGATTAGGAATTAATTTGAGAGAGAAAGGGAAGGGGAGGGGCCGGCCATATGACGATAGGAGGGAGTGTCTAGGTTCAATGTATGTGGGTCATTGACTTTAATCAATAATTGAAATCAAATCTAAAATTTAATTTCAGATTTGATTTAATTAAGGGGGTTTCCTAAATTAGATCTCTTGATTTAGGAAAGAGATTTGATGTTCAAATTAATTTGAATTCAAATTAGGAACTTTCCAATTCAACATGAGGATAAATTAGGAAACTAATTAGGAGGGAATTTGAAATTGAAATCAACGCTTGTAGGGGTAGTTGGCTGGCGGCTTTAAAGCCTTGGGAGGCCGACGGCGTGGAGTAGTGGGGGCGGAGGCAAGGAGAAGGCCTTTCGGTTTGAAGAGGGAAGGGGGATGTGGTGGAGCCGTC